CACGGAAAAAAAAAATTTGCGGCGGGAAGTTTTTGGATTTCGACGGAGGAGAAGGATAAGTCCTATTTGAGCAGAGCGAGTTTTTTGTCAGTTTTGGATTTCGGACCTCACTTGAAGGAATTTGTGTATAAGATTCTTAGAGCATCCGCATTGGAGATATTTTGTTGTGTCTTTAAATATAAAATTATTAAAAATTGAGTTAAAGGAAGAAAGAGAGTGTTTTTGGTTGAAATAATGGGGTGTATTGAAATATAAAATTAATAAAATTTGAGTAAAGAGATGANATAGTGGGTATTATTGGAGAGAGGATGTCTCGGGGAAGACAAAGTTGGAGAGAGAATGGATGAAAGTTAGAGTGTGTTTAAATATAAAATTAATAAAAGTTGAGTAAAAGGATGAAAGAGAAAGTATAAAGTTGAGTAAAATGAAGAGAAAATGTGTTTTTAATATTTTTTTATTGAGAGACATCCACGTTTTGTCTCCAATGTGGATGGCCTTATCCATAATTTGAAGATATTTAAATGTGATATTTTAGCTACTAGCAATGAACAAGGAGATAGATTGTGTGAGAAGGATATGACTAAAAAACATGCTTCTAAATTATGATTGTGGATGATATAAATTATGATTTTTATGTTTTTGTTAAATCTGATGATTATTTGTTGGAATCAAAGAAAAAAATGATATTACTTGCACGATCACTTCTTTTTCTTTTTGTCTCTTTCTCGTCTTTTCAAATCGAACCATTCCTCCAACTAGTCAAAAAGTATAATTTGTAACCATTATTATTATACGAATGAACAAATATTCCAGATCCAAGAATAAACGTCATAAATTAAACCTCCAAGATCAATTACAACAGATCCAATCTCAACTCAATTGTTTTTGAAAAAAAAAAGGACAATGAAACAATTGTTTATGTAAATGAATGAGTTTGACTTGGAACTGCTCACCTGAAGACAAGACCTTGACACTTACCGAACCATCATCTTCCCACTCTTTCTTCCCAACCAGAACCAGCCTTCTTGCCTTTACTCGATCAGCCCTCTTGAATACCCATTTCAGTGGTTTATACTCCAATACCAAATCAACGGTTTGGCCTTTGCTTCTGAGAGCGGTTGCAACCGTGGCTGCAGCTCCTTGGAGATCTTTGTCCAAAGCACACACAATGTTCTCTACCTCTTGCCCCAATTCTGGCAGCAAATCCTTCTCCTTAAGCAACGAAATGGAAGAGGGAAGTAAGAATCAGAGACTAAAACTCTACATTTTTTACAGCGAAGTCCGCATGGAAGCTTAAATAGAAAGCAGAGAGTTTTAACTTACTTCAACAATTACAGCATCGCCGAAACCAAAACCACAAGCAGGGATGTCATCACCTCCATAAGTGGAGAGTAATCTGTCGTATCTTCCACCACCACATATAGCTCGCAGCTTTCCTTTTCGATCAAATCCCTGTCACATAGCACACTTTTATATCAATTGTTATCGCAAAAACTATGGACGAGTATCCATGTTCAAGGAATATTATGTCATAAAACTAACCTCGAAGACGATACCAGTGTAATAAGCCAGACCACGTACAACGGATGCATCAAACTGTATCCACTCAGAATAACCAAACTTTTCAGCAAGTGAGAAGAGTTGCTTCAAATCCGCAATGGCTTGACTCAGATTTTTGTGTGTTTGACTCAGATTTTTTTTCTGATAACTGACCAAATTCCCAAATAACCGACCAAATTCTCAACCGGTTATGTTCATCTCACGGACGAGGGCAACAAAGAATTCATGATTAGAGATTGTTCAATAAATTAATCACTAAAGCTTTAGTTCTTTTGAAAGTATTTTAAAACTTTTAAAATCCATTTGCTAATCACCAGTCAGATTAATTGAACACTGAGTCAAAGGGCTTTGTAATCAAGAAAATGTTAAACTATACGAAAAGAT